CCTTTTTTTAAGAATATAGGTAATGATTGTAGCAGCTATGATGTTAACCATCCCTGGAGCATTATGGGTAAGCATAGTAACAGAGGACAAAGGCAACGTAGAGCCAGTGTTTACAGGGGTCACCTTCACCACTGTTCCCATTAAGCTCCAACAGAATGGGGATGTACAGGACGTGAAGATATAGGTGGCTCTGGGGTAAAAAGCACAATTGCAAAACAAATTGAAGCTTTTTTACAATATGAAAAAATATATCTAATACTAATCACAATCAAATAAAAAATAAAGTATGTTTTATTGAAAACAATTAAGGTGTTTTGTGAGCTAAATCTCACAAAACCCCCCAGGGGAATCTAGCATTCCCCTGGGGGGTTTTAAAGCCGTATTATCTGGTGTTTTTTTTATGATTCTTGCAACTGTTGTTCTTGTGTTTTCTGTGTGGTTTGTGTTGTTGCTGTTTTCCCGTTTGTGTCCTTGAGAATGTTTCTTGGTCTCAGGTTTCTCTTGGAAAAAAATGAGAAATAAATAATAAATAAATAAAGATAAAGTAAATAAATAAATTGAACATGTAGAGAAGTAAAAATCTAACTTTTGTCTTTTAAGCCACACAGAACTCATCTTCTTCGTCACAAGGTCTTCTCCCTTAAAAAGGTTACACAAAATGTCCCTGACAAAAAATGGCAACAACGGTCAGATCCTGCCTTGGGCCATCTTCGCTGACATCTATCAAATGATCTATTCATTTCAATGTTCTTGTACTCAACAGCGATTTTCTAATCCGGGATCACATCTGCGTTTATCACAGTGCTAAATACTGTAGAAAATGTAAAGCATGAAGTAGAAGACATGACCTTCGGGGAGAGGGGCTCTCATTGTGCTGCGTACCCAAAATGAACCACAGACACTTGCTTTCAGATTTGAAGGGGACAAAGGTGCATCTTGTGCATGCTGGGCTACAAATGGTGCTTTGTCAGGGGATGGTTGACAAACGACAAGTGCCCTTTTTGTGCAAAACAAGTGACCAAGTTAGATCTGTGGGACAGTAGGACCCCATTATAGGAAACCGCTGATAGACAGCAAAAGATTTGACATTGCAAAGTAGTAGATTTTTCCCAGTTTTTTACAATGAAATGATTATTTGGTTTAATATGCTATATACAAAGGAAATCCGAAAATATCGGTATTTGACAGGCATATAATTTGTTCTGCCTATTTAACCTTGATCCTAAATCTATTTTCAAAACAATCAACAATTGTTTATTTGTTAGTTAACTAATCGGTAAGTAGAATTACTTAGCTTCCCATGCAGTAATTGTACCGAAGGCTGGATAAAAACGATCTTTAAAATCTAGAAACGTAGAAAAACAATTAAGAAACAGCCAATGAGTCGTTGACTCAGCTGTAACATAACCCAGTCTCTACTGTTGCAATAGTGAAATGGTGGATACATCATTTTCAGCTTCACAACCCCGCGAAATGACTCGTTTCATGCCAAAGAGTTTGATCAACAGCTTCTATAACATTTAAGTCTAGAAAAGCTGCACCGTTAAATGATTTGATCCCCTCTCAAGAGAGCAAAGGGCTGAATCAGACAATAGCCTTCAACAATTCAAATTACTGTCTGTTTTTTAATGGCAGCTGTCTGACAATAGCCATAAAACTGTAAATTGAAAATTATTATAATAGTTTTAAATATACATCTTGATGATTAGCGATATTGATCAATGTAAAAAAAATATATCTCTTATACCTATATTTGACCATATCATCCAACACTCCCATTTAATTTCATCTTTAATCTTTTATTTGGCTATCCAATCATTAAACAATATATTTTTCATTTTCATTTGCCACCATACTCAACCTGCTGAGTGTCAAGAGTCAATTAAATTAGATTATCTAAGGTTCATTAACAAAGAAAACCAAACCAATTGTCTATTGATACTGGGGGATCCTTGGGAATTCAATTAGGATAATTGGCAAATTAGAGTTTAAAATAGTAAGTAAGAAGATCAAAATCTGTCAAACAAGATAGAACAGCTCCATGTTGTCTGAGCTGCACTGCAAGACCTATGTCAACCACACACACATCAATAAATAAATCAGATGCAAATTGTATTGTATAACACTTCATCAAACAGGAACATTTACGTCCATATATTTGGACACTGAGTGAACTGAGTGGAAAAAGCTTTAGTACGGTGTGAGCAATATCAGGTTTTAAGAGGTGATTGTGAAAGGGAGAACGTCTTTAAAAAACAGACAGAAAGAGAAGATAATCAATTGATTATCAATCAATAGGCAGGCGGGGGTCTGGGTGAGGAAGATTGGATGGCTCGAGCTTTCACAAATAATCGAAGATGCAAAGACAACGGTCCCCACCCCCATCACGCATCGTCTTTCTCCTGTGGCTGTCACCTCCTCCCCGTTCATCTCAATATCCCTCTTCGCCTTTCTCCTTCTCCCTCCGTGTCTCTCTATATGCTACCTTTCAGTCCCTTTCCCATATTTTCCTCACCACTATCTCACCCCTTCTCCATTTCCCTCGCTCCGTCTCTCACACTCACACTCCCACCCCATTCCACCTCTTTCCTCTTCCTCCCTCCTCTCTCCCGTGTCTACTGCAGCAGAAAAGCCAGCACAGACACCAGCATGTGTGTGTTTGTACATGTTTGTGCTGCTACGGCACATCCACGACCGAAGCTTCACACGATCATGAGCGGAGAAGGAGGAGGTGGGTGTGAGAAAGAAGGAAAAAAAAAGCCCTGCATGCGTGTCGAACGCTGTGATCGAAACATTGATTGCTGATGCGTTACATCACAGCCATGCAAACAAAAAACCCTTAAACGTCTCTCCTCCCGTCTCCCCTTTATTTCCTCTCGTCTCCTGCTTCCTCCATCTGTCTCTCTCTCATCTGTCTCGTTGCATTTCCACATCAGCATCTCGTTGTTTCCCTTGTCCTAGCCTCCCTGCATCTCTTTTCTCTCCACGTATAATTTGCATCTCTCAGGACACAAAGGACCAAAAGGTTCTGCCACTAAGGACAATATACTTTTAGAAAGAGAGAGGGTGGAGGATAAAAAATAATGATCTGGGTCACAAAGCTGTTTGACGTATATCACTGGCATATGAAACCTACAGAGAGGAATGGGGCTGTGCCAACCCATAAATAGAGCTGCTGTTGTGCAGCCATTGAAATGAATCCCACATTCTACCTGCCCTGTACTCTGCATAACCTCAACGTCACAAAAACCTCTATGTGAAAGCATCACACTTAATGAACCATTCATGAGATCTTAACCACCAGTGATGTAAAACTCATCATTACATAATGCGTTCCAGCAGCTACCGGCAGCAGGTACAGTATCTTCAATCTGAGGTATGGCAATGCTTCCACCTCATGATATTCAAGAATTCAGCACACAATCCAATCCTGTTTACAGAATAAAGAATCTTTTTTTGCTTGACTTCTCCTATAGCTGATGTGATTTCAAAATGCAGACCCGAAGGCGTCTCCCCCTAACGCAACATGTGGACATTGTGCAAAGAACGGCAACACTAAGGGCGGTTTTGTTGCATGAGGTAGGAGGGGTGGGAAGGTGAGAGAATCAATCTGATTGGGAAGGGAGTGACACTTTGATAAGACTTCCTGCCTTATCCCAAGTCCAGGGAGGTGGATCAGGTGGCTTAAAGCAGACTGTCTGTCACTTTCCCCTTCCTTCAGACGGAACTGAATCCAGGTATGCAGACCTATACCTGGTGCCAGTGTGTGAAGGAGCCCGTGGGTGCAGCTATATTGTCTTTATCTGTCATTCTAGATACAGTAAGTGTTGCGGAGTGTGCATTTCCACAGCTAATTTCAGCCTGATGGTATGAGTTTGCCACTGCAGGTGTCTGCTGACTGTCTGGTGTTGCATGTGCAGCAACAGACTGCATGCATTTACACAATCTATGGGTCCTCACACACCCTCAATTACAGCAAAACACTACCAACAAAAGCACAGACAGGGGGGAAAGACAGGGATGATCAAACTACTCATCACTAAAACACAAATCAAAGCAGTTGTGATCAAGCAGCTGGATTCACCTGTAACTAGAGGGTCTTAGAAAAATAAAACAGAAGCCCACTGTTACTGTTTTCATGTAACACGGATCAAAACCACAGTAAGGGGTACTTGTTACTCGTACACCTGTATGATCAAATGCCATCAAACGTCTGCTTTTGGAAGGTGAATTATTTATTATTTACATGAAAACAATAACAGGGTAATCCAAAATAGAATCAAGTTGTGCGTAAGAGCAATAAAGCGTAAAAGCTATCAAATGGGAAATGGGAGAAAGACAAAAAAACAGCCCAGCAGGCTCCAGCAATACCAAGGACAAATGTGGGGAGAGACATGCATTTCAACACTGACGAATCGGTGTCGTATGAGCAGCTTCAGTGCAGTGATACAATAAATAAGACTCCCATGAAATACGGCGCATTGATGTGCATCGTAAACGGACAAATATGACTTAATGAAGACGTTTGGATGCAGCAGGCGCAGCGGATGCCGCGTTTCAGAGGCAGATATGTATCAAACCTCAAGAAGCATAGGAATTATGATGGCAATAAAAACGGTATTCAGTGTGAAGCCAGCTCTCTGAAACAGGTGATACATCAAGTAAAAGACATGGAGGTGATGTGTTTGACAACATCTCTGGTAGTTATATCAAACAGTTCCCATAGCTGCCATACCATTTTCCATTTTCCTTATGCTATCAGCATTAATTATTCAATATCAGTAAGTCCATATCCATTTAATGCAAGTTATCCCTTCAGGGAGTACACACATGTCTACAGTCAGACTGTAATTAATTATGGAGGACTGGTTTCAATGATAATGTGGACAGCACGTTAAAAACACAAAGCTTAAAAAACTTATCATGACCCAAGCAGACACCATGATGCAGAAGATGCAACAGCACATTAACAAGTTGCAGGAGAGACGTGGGGAACTCACCCTGGCATATTTGGAGGAGTACGGGTCTTCAAACAGAGCCCATATTCGGGGCTGCCAGGTTTTCCACCAGCCCGCTCTCCTCGCGTCCTCCTGCATGCACAGTCTTCTCAAGTCCCCGTCCGGACCGCTCAGCGCGGGCTCGTCGTCCGGGGCGTCCGGTTCTGGATTCTCGAAGCTGTCCAGCGCCTCCTCCGCATCCCGGTGCTGCCGGTAATTCATCCAGCAACACGCCTCCACATCTGTCTCATCGATGCCCCAGAAAGCCAGCTCCTCCTCGAACAAGGGACCGCACACATCGTTGGGACAGTGCAACTTCCCGGTGCGGTAATAGTTGAGGATGAAGGAAAACACTGACGGGTGGCGGTCGAAGAAGAACTCGTCTAATTTGGGGTCGTAGTCGAAGTTGCTGAACGCGTCCGGCTCGGTGAGCCACGATAAGCGGGTGCCAGGCAGCGTTTTTAGGGTGCTCCGGTAAGTCTCATGCCGCACCCCCCCGCAGTTTATCACGATTTTCTCGCTTTCCGACGGACAAGTCATGTCTGCGCTGTAACATGCTTTGTTGGACGACTTGTTCCCACCCTTGCGCCCTTTATAAGAGGATACACACACCGAACTGAGCATAGAGGACCGGGGGGGAGGGAGAGGATGAGAGAAACCGAAGGGAGGAGGAGGGAGGAGTCTGAGGAGTCTGCGGGGAGAGAAAAAGGGCAGAAATGTTAGCAGAAGGGAGACATAGACGTGGATTATCAACATTGCAATACACATTAACAATCACGCTGTAATGCCAGCTGTATGTGCAATTAGTCCCTTGATAATCAGCTGATGGAAAACGACATTGTGCAGGTGCAGTGAGAGGGGGGGGAATATGAGGGGTGGCAAAGTAGTTTTTGACACAGCAGAAAGATACCCTCAACTTATTAGGGTGGCACAGATGGCAGCAGGTGGACAAAGTTATGAGTCAGCACCCTGACAGGCTGATGTTGAAACCACAGTGTGTGTGTGTGTGTGTGTGTGTGTGTGTGTGTGTGCGCGTGTGTGCGCGTGTGTGTGTGTATTTATTTCAATGTTCTTGTACTCAACAGTGACTTCTCCCGAGATCACATCTGTGTTTATCACAGTTCTAAATACTGTAGAAAATGTAAAGCATGAAGCAGAAGTCATGACCTTCGGGGAGAGGGGCTCTCGTTGTGCTGCTTCCCCGAAATTTGAAGGGGACAAAGGTGCATCTTGTACATGCTACAAATGGTCCTTTGTCAGGAGATGGTTGACAACGACAAGTGCCCTCCTTGTGCAAAACATTGTGCATGCTTCCCCAAAATGAACCAAATACAGACACTTGTTGTCCGATTTGGAGGGGGAAATAGTCTGCCACATGAAATGGTAAACATCCTTTAGTTGTTTTGTTTTTTAAATACAGAACCAGACTGTTTTCCCATTTCTATCTTCTTGGTAAGAACCAAATACAGACACTTGTTGTCCGATTTGGAGGGGGAAATAGTCTGCCACATGAAATGGTAAACATCCTTTAGTTGTTTTGTTTTTTAAATACAGAACCAGACTGTTTTCCCATTTCTATCTTCTTGGTAAGAACCAAATACAGACACTTGTTGTCCGATTTGGAGGGGGCGAAGGGGCGTCTTGTGCATGCTGGGCTACAAATGGTGCTTTGGAAGTGACTCCAATCAATTTCCATCCTTTATTCCATGCTTTCCCTTAAACTATGTCTGAATTGATCTGGTCGATGGTCATGTCAGTGTTCATTCAAATCCTCTCCCTAATTGGGCCACTTTCAGACTTGATCAGCCTCCCCCCTTCCCTTCCCCTCCATCCCTCCCCACCTGCAACCATCCCTCATTTGCCTAAGAGTGTGTGAGGAAGGAAGAGTGACAGAAAGATGAGGATAAGGGGGAACATGGGTCTCCATCTCACTGGTTGTTTCCCCCCCCCCCTTTTTCCCAAGGATGCCTCTCTGACGTATGGTGGCGCAGCAACGTGTGTGTGTTTGTGAGTATGAGCGTGTGTGTGTGTTTGTTAATTGCCTCCCGAGAGTGTGGTGTCCGTACTAATGTTAGATCTCCTCAATCAGCCTATGTACGTGCTACACACACTGCTGCAGCCCCCTCCGACCGCACCGAGATTCATGCGATGCACAATTATGGCAATGCTTTCTCTGCCACTTCTCCTATGCACTGTCTCCGTATTTGTGTGTGTGTGTGTGTGTGTGTGTGTGTGTGTGTGTGTGTGTGTGTGTGTGTGTGTGTGTGTGTGTGTGTGTGTGTGTGTGTGTGTGTGTGTGTGTGTGTGTGTGTGTGTGTGTGTGTGTGTGTGTGTGTGTGTGTGTGTAAAGACATGTAGAGGTAGAGGGTGACAGAAAGAGAGAGGAAGGCCATAAATCAGATGTTTAATGGTAGGATCGAAAAGGACAGGACAATCAGGAAAACAAGCATGCTCAGAGAAAGACCTGAAGATTGGATGACATAAAGATCCAAAGAGTGAGAGATGTGGAGGAACAGAAAGTGACACTCACTCTCCCTGCAGTGAGCAGCTAGTGTCTCTCCCCTATTGATGGAGGAAGGGGGTTGAAGAGAGAGAGAGCAGAGGGGGGAGGAGGAAGAGCATAGAAAAGGAGAGTGCACTATAAAAGTGAATGAATTCTGCTGCAGTAAAAAGCCAGAGTTATTTGCTCTCTCCCTCATCTCCTTCTCCCAGTGAGGTCAAATGATCCGCCCGCGAGCTGTGTTACCATCCGGGGGGTGTGTGTGTGTGTGTGGGGGGGGGGTCTCGGTGCTTCACAACAGGCACGCGTTCACAGCAAGCCCGTACACGCGCCACATCTATGTTGTTAACCTTTTTCTCTATTCAAAGAAATGCACCACTCTCCTCCTCCTTCCCCCTCCTCCCCTGCGAGCTCTCACTGGCCCTCCCCCTCTCCATCCTACTACTCTCTCTCTCTCTCTCTCTCCCTCACTTTCTCTTCCTCGCTCGCTCTCATATTCCGCATAAAGGAATCACATTTCATTGAAGGAGCGGAATCAAGGCTTCATTTCTCCCTCCTCTCACCACACGGTCCTATTCCCATCCAGTGCCCCTCTCTCATTCTTCTCCTCTCTTCCTCCCCCCCCCCTTTTTCCATATTCCTATTCTGCATTTCACTCTTATGCATTTTTCTTTTATTTCTCCCCTCTTTTGCTTCACTCATCCTCCTGTCCCATTCTTTTTCCCCATCCCAAAGTAAGCTTCCTTCACTTTGGGTCAACTCTCTTCAGCGCTCTCCCCCCAGACTTGTTCTCCCTGCATGTAGGACACTGCAGCATTTCTTTTTCTTTCATGTTACTTGTGTTTTTGTCTCTGTTGTTTTGCTCATTTCATCTGAAGAAACAACTTTTGGTTCATGGAAAAGTTGTCCGGTTCTCTTTTTCTTCAGATCTTCTGTTGACATTAAGTATCTTTTTTTCAGATTTTCTTCTTTTTTTTTTTCTGATTGTTTTTGGTATAAACTATTTTTTTTTGGGTACAAACTATATTTTTTTCACTTTTGAAGTTCCTGGACTTAACAACATCTCAGGTAAGATCTACTACGACCAAGGCTATTGCATCGGACTGCAGTCAGAGTTTGGAAACATCAGAGCAAAAAATGTTTTATACAATGCCCAGCTCTCGAAAAAAACTCAAATGGATGTACTGCAGGTTCGAAAAATCCGGAAACTGAACCTTATACTTCTACTTTTTATCAAATATTCAAAGTGCTTGCGATGCTTGCGGCAGGACCATCAAATCTGCTTGCTCGACAAAAAAAAACCCTGCACTCATGAGTTTTAGAGTCGTACTGCATCATTCTGCTCAAGCAGCACAGTCTCATCTTTACAACTACAAGAGAAAACAGGACTCGTTTAGTTGAATAAGGAAAGTAATAACTTGCAGTCAGATTTAAAACAGTTTGGCAGTCAGTCAGGCAGGCAGAGTGTATCTCCATCCTGTGGGTCTTTCCAGCGGGGACTGCTTATATTTCAGCACCATGGACAGCAGCGCTCTCTCCCTGGGACTCTAACAGGACACTTAACTCTCCACAACCAACTCCTAAGATCGCAGCCGTGGAACTTTTATACCTCGGATTACTTTTTTTTGGCTTCACTTTGCAACTCCCTCGTGCCTCTTATTTCTACTTCACGGGCAGCTGTAGTTTACTGGTTGAACTGCTGCATATTTTATACGCAGACAGCCACAAGTCTATAACTGCGGTTAAATGCCTTTGTGTTCCCCCTGAGTCATGTGGGGTGAGTGTATTGATTTTTTTAAATGTACTTAAGTGTTACTTTTAAAACTCATTTGGGGTTGATTTGGATATGGAATATTCTTGCCTATGCTGAGAAGATATCATATCCATTTTAAAGTTTGAGTGAGAGTTGTGAACATGACCTGATCCTGATTAGCTCAGGGCATTTCAGTTTAGTGCTTTGGAGCTGCATTTCAGTTTAGTGCTTTGGAGCTGCATTTCAGTTTAGTGCTTTGGAGCTGCATTTCAGTTTAGTGCTTTGGAGCTGCATTTCAGTTTAGTGCTTTGGAGCTGCATTTCAGTGCGCAGTTTGAGGGTTTCAGCTTAAAACCGTGGAAGTAAGCACATCTATTTAAGAGCCAGCCTCAGCACTTGAATCACTGTCAGGAGTGCAATTGCTTGAAAAAAAACAAAGACACCAGAGAGAAGGGGGGGGAGGCTAAAGAAGGTGCTGCAAAATGGAGGAAGGAAGTTGAGATCCAGCGGAGAGATTAAAAAAGAGCACAGAGCGGTGGAGGAAGAAGCATGAGGAAGGGGCTGAGGGGGAAAGTGGGAGGGGAGGTAAGGGGGAGAGGAGGAACAATCTCCAGCAGCACCTCTGTTTCTCTCTCCTGCAGCATTTCCTGCCTTGGCCGCCGTGTCCTGCGCCACCCTGCTACTACTGCCTCACCACTGCACACACACACACACGGGGAAAGAGGAGGGGAGGGAGGGAGGGAGGAAGACGCATACAAACACACACTCACCTGGCTGCAACAAAACAGCCTAAGAAAAGCAAATCAAGGCAGAGATAAGGCTCTTTGGTGATGAGCCCTTTAGGGAGATAGATGATTTCTGCAGTGGAGGATGGATGGAGAGAAAGGGGCAGATAGAAAGAAAGAGTGTGCGCGTGGCATTTGCACGAGGGCTGCACTGACGCTAATATATATTAGCAGAAACACTGCAGCAAGAAGGGGGAGGGAGCACGGGATTATGGGATGTATTGACTGTGAGGTACCAGCAGCAGTAACCGGGGGGATGGGAGGAGAGCGCACACTAGAGAGGGAGAGACAGAAGGAGAAGGCAAGGGAGGACATTTGGAGGAGTGCTGACTATGTGGAACAGACCCAGCAGTTGGTGGAAAAAGCTAAAAAAAACAAAAAACATTTACCAATCACAGAGGGGGGAGAAGAGATGGAGAATGAGGGTTGAGAATAGACAGACAGGGAGAGAAAGTGAAAGGAAAGGTAGAGGAGAATGAGCAACCCTGGGGAAAATGAAAGAGGGGAGAAAAAAAAAGGTGGGGGGAGGAGACGGAGAAGACAAAAAAAGACCTTGCAGTGGCTCAGGAGAGCACCTGAATGGCTGTCAAGGTGTAGCAGGAGGAGGAGGGGCTGGAGATGGTCTGCAATACTAATAAGAGGAATGGAAACAGTGGATTGATAAAGAGAGAGGTGTGTGTGTGTGTGTGTGTGTGTGTGTGTGTGTGTGTGTGTGTGTGTGTGTGTAGTGTGTAGTAGTGTAGTGGTAGTGTGTAGTAGTAGTGTGTGTGTGTAGTGTGTAGTGTGAGTGTAGTGTGTGTGTGTGTGTAGTANTGTGTGTGTGTGTGTGTGTGTGTGTGTGTGGGTGTGTGTGTGTGTGTGTGTGTGTGTGTGTGTGTGTGTGTGTGTGTGTGTGTGTGTGTGTGTGTGTGTGTGTGTGTGTGTGTGTGTGTGTTTAAGAGAGAAAGAGAGATAGCAAGAATTACGTATGTGTTTCTGGTGCGCAGCCATTTTTTCCCACCCGCTACCTCATCAAAGGATGTAACCACAAGGCTTCACGCTGTTCCACCCATATCACCCCCCTTCCTCCCTCCCTCCTTTCCTCATTCCTCTCCCCCTCATCTCTACCTGATCTTCCCTCTCCTCTCTTCTCCTCTCTCGTTCTCAATCCCCAGTATTGAGGAGACCCCAACAGGAGAAAGTGAGGCACTGCATCGCCGTGGAATCACTGCGGCCACCTCCCCTTTAGTGCGGCGTCACACCACACAGTGTCCTCCCCCCCCCCCTCAAATTATCATTGAGCCTCACAGTGTAACTAGGATTCTGGTGTGTGCAGTGTGTGAGGATGCTGGGGAGAGGTAGGAGGCGTGTGAAGTGTGAAGTGAATGATACACATTTTTTTATAGAATATCATGAATGGATGGAGCTAACAAAAAGGGTGCGTTTGCAAAGAAAAACAGAGAGTGAGGTCATACAGTGAGCCAGTATTCCTAAATCTGGTTATGCACACACAGGAGAACAAACACTTTCTCCTTATGACAAAGCTCACCAGTGTCCAATTCTCAAAACATGAATTAAGTAGCCAATCAATTAAGCAAGTAGAAAGGGAAATGGCAGCTCCTTTACTCCAAGCAACACCAGCGTGGAGATCTCCTCGGGCTGACCAAGCCACACATACTTCAGCAACAACACTCCCCTGGGGGTTTGGTGCATATTGGTCACCCCCCCCTCCCTATCTGCATCTCCATCCAGAATCTGCTATCACCCTCTCGCAACACTTTTTTTCTACTTTAGGAGAAATAAAAGAGTCATGTGACCCTGGATTGCTCCTTTTAGCTGGCTGGGGATGATTAATACATAAGGCCATTTTCAGGAATAGGCTGGCAGAAATGAAGCCTGTAATAGAGCTCTGAAAGCTCAGCCAGGGTCCATGACTACAATCAGTCCTGCCAACAGGAGAATGAGTGTTGAGATTATGTGGATAGATTTACCCACTGTATGAGACTCCACTGGTCCTAGAAGGAGGCAAGGCTACCTTCTAGGACCAGTGATTGGTTTAGGAGAGGTCAGGAAAATCCAAAAACAACACTGAGTGCAGGAAAAAAAATCAATGATATAATGTTTCATGTTGGGAAGGAAGGCTATTATTGGACATGGATGAATCCCAGCTATTATCCCTCAGTATTCAGTGTTCTTGGAGGATTGGCAGCAGGAGCACATGGCTTTAACCTCCGCACCTCTCTACTCTCTTATATCATTTAAACCTGCCTGCTACTAATTAATAATGCCGCCCTCCCAGCATGATTAGGACCGTCATTATCCTGCAGTGCAATGATGTGGCTCCGAGGGCAAGACAAATGGGACGGGGGAATAAGCATTACTGACTCCTGACCTGTGCACGGCCGATTAGACAAAGAGGAGGGCTACGGGAAGTCACCGATTAGGAGAGAAGTTGGGCTTGAACTTGAGGAAGTAAAAAGAGGAGGACAAGGAAAAACGGAGACGAGAGGTGAGCTTGAGGTGAGTTTCAAGGTCAAGGATTACAATCGCTGAGTCAGCTGGATCAGGTGATGGATTAGTTCAAAAGACACAGGGGGAAAAGTTGTTTGAAAGCTGGGCATGAACACGTGAGAGGGGAGAGGAACCAGCACGCACAATGAGAGAGGAAGGGTCAGAAGCAAGAACACACACAAACCCAGGACACGACAGATGCGTAATTCAATCACAACCTCAAAATAGATTTATTCCCCCCTCTGTTGCTTCAACACCAGCACCCTCCTTTTTTGAAGCCCCATCGCTACAATACCAATGACACCCACTGACAGCATGCCACTGTCACTACTGGGGAGGCTTCTTTTTTTGTTGCTGAAATCAAATGGGTGTTTTCTGGGTTACCCTCGATCTAAAAATAGCGCCAGCTGTAGATTCATAATGCAAGATTGAGGAGAGAGAAAGCAAATGGAGGAAGAGAGTTCCCATCAGGGGGAAAGCATGCTGGAGACAGAAGGGAAAAAAAGGAAATGCATATGCTGGAAAAGTGAAGGAAGAAGAGGCATTATGAAACTACTTTGTGTGATGCAGGGGGATGTTGATGTGGTGGTGGGGGGTTGTAGGGAGAAAGACCCCGTCTAGACATGTAACTGCCCCCATAGACTTCCTGGACACTATGTCCTTCCTGTGGTGCTGCTCGACTGCTCATCTCTTCCTCACACCTTTTCTCATGTGTGTGTGTGTATATGTGTGTGTTTGTGTCAGTCCCTCTTATGGCTTCTTTATCAAACCTCCATTTCAGGCCTTGACCCTTACCATAGTGCTGCCACGCCACAAACACAAACACTGCTGGCACATGCAAGTAAAACAAATGCATGCCCACAAATGCACAAAGCAATACACACAGACAGAAACAGTGGCTCACACAGAGACAATGATGCCAGGAGGAATGCACACACACACACACACACACACACACACACACACACACACACACACACACACACACACACACACACACACACACACACACACACACACACACACACACACACACACACACACACACACACACACACACACACACACACACACACACACACACACACACACACACACACACACACACACACACACACACACACACACACACACACACACACACACACCTCAGAGGCATGAAACTGCTCTGATCTAGTGGTGTAGATGGGGAAACACCCACAATTTGTGCAATAAGGGAATGTTATAAAATGACATTTTTAGGCGTCATGTGAGTGGATAAATGACATCTGACTGTGTAAAAGTGCGGCTCTCTTTGTGTAAAAGCAGCTAGAAATAGCAATACAAACACAGTATAGAGGTTTATGAATATCATTTGAACATCTTTCACACATTCTGTTTCCTCCGGATCATAACACAAACAGGTTAGAAGGAAGAATTAATCGCAGATAAAACGATACTTGTTGAATGTAGGCTAGACGCTTTTTTCTTGCTTCTTTCAGAGCTGGCCAATAAATGCTCTATTATTAGACGGATAACGCATAATATAGCCACCAAAATACAGACATATACACAGACACGGATAATACTCACTTGCTTTTGGTTCAGGTTCGTTTCGAGTGCGTGCAGAGACGCGCACATCAAGCTTAAAGATCAATCACAATGTAGTTGTCTTTGTTAGATCGCTTTTTTCTTATGATTTCACAGAGTATCCAGATTCTCGCAGGCATTCAGCTGGTCTGTTTTCTTTCTCCCCACGATAAGAATAAATCAAAATAGGATTGCGCGCGTCTGTCGCAAAAAAATCTCGTATTGGCACCGTTATTGCCGTATGTTACTTATAGCTTATGGCATGCTGATGATGGCAAAAGGGACGAGTCTTTCGGGTGAAATTATGTAGAAGTCCCCCTGAAATATGTTTTTTGCTGTTTCCCTCGATTTCAAAGCCCCCTCTCCCACCTCTTTGTTATTGCAAAAAAAAGATAATTGGCAGCCTTTGTTACAGTGTCTCTACGCTTCCAGGCGCAGGGTGTAGCTACCATTCAGCTCTTCCTCTTGCAAATGTTTCAATGGAGCCTGTAGACACCTCTCTCATTGCCTTTCCCTCTCAGTGCCTCTCTGTTCGTTTGGAGGAGCGTCACCTTTTTCCTCAGACGATACATGTGGGCGGATTAGAGAACAAGACAGAGGGTGGGAGGACCCCGGTGAATACAGAGGCTAATTTCTCTATGGCTGCTGAACTCCATAAATACATATGCTGTAAAAGTACACAAAACAGGGCTATAAGAGGAAAGGCTGTGTGTTTCTTGTTAATCATATGTTTAATTGTTTGTTTTTCCCTTCTCCCCCCCCTTATTCTTTCCTCACTATATATCTCACACTTGCTCACTCTGCTGGACGGACGCACCATTTTGTCTACAGGTTCCCAGCCTTGACTCTTGTCTGACATCAGCAGTCATGTGGTGGCAGAGGAGCAGGTGGGAATATGACAGGGAATGTGGATTCATATGTTCAATACTATGCCTAATTATAACAAGTAGATATGATACTGCTTTAATTGAAGTTATCTGTAAAGCACTGTCTGTGCAAAAAAACATGAAGGGATCTTTAAAAATGTCACAATTGTTATGGTATAATAAGACAGTCAACATATATTAGTAAACATGAACACATCCCAAAACTGTGTGACAGAGTGCTACATCTAAAAATGGTGATGTCAACCAGTTTAAGTCTGGAACGTCTCCGTAGAGAATTGGGGGGGAAATTATAGGCAAAACTGAGAGAACCCAGGAAAATGTTCGAAGTAGGCCTATATATTGTTTCTGGTTCAGAGAAATTACAATATAATAAAGCTTTGTTTAGCTATACACAATGAGAGTTCACAAATTCAGCCTCCCATTAATATTCTGGAGCATCTCCAGACTTTATAATTGATGACATCATAAGCGTGAGACTTCTCTGGTGTGTGGCTCTGACTGAGAGAAGCTCATGTTCACAAATATTGACTGCACCTTCTTAGGCCACGTAAATATGTAATAATACATTTTTGAATTCCTTATTTAGGAGGTGATAAAAAATACAACACTGTTTATGCATGAGGCCTCTTTGGTCTGAGCCATAATCCAGTAAAGGTACCATGATCAGCATTGTTGCTGATGCACTTATCGACTGGAAGCTCAAGGTCAAGTGCAACACAGCCTCACAAAAAGGCCCATAGTAGTAAAAGGGCAAAAGGTTCCTACTAAAGTGCCAGTAGCATTTCCATTGATCACAAAATGCTCTCATAGCGAAGTCGGGAAGGAAGAAGGATGACTATAGGAGAAATGTAAGTTAATAAAAAAAGGTGCAATTAGCATAAAGAGGACCATGTTACAGTTAAAAGAACAATTATCAAATGCATAAAGCTTTTTAAATAAGTGTTATTACCCTTTCCGGAAGGTGAATAGAAGCAACATAAAGGTCAAGCTTCTCACTGCTCTACAGGGCTAAATGCATCGCCACTGCCTTTATAGCTCATAAAGTACTTAAAGCCATATCCTTAAATAAGTCTGACACATCAAAGTCTGACATATCATCTGGAAGAGTGTTCTTATAAAGTAAAAAAAGAGCTGTTGAAAAGTGAGAAAATGTGAGCACAAACTCAGGCGATTCATAGCATGGAGCTTGGATAGTCTGATATTCTGGATTTAAGGCTTTCTTTTTTACTAATGTAATGTTTTTTTTACATTTGTGCAAGCGATGGTTCGCTTCCTTATTAGTTTGTATTATCATTGCCCTGGTTGGAAACACATTTTCAACCTGTCCCTGTTTGTATCCCTCTGTGTGTATGAGCTAAATTTGAGAGCGTGAGCCACCTCGCTCCATTAAGGCATGAGTATCAGTCCCGTTTGTGCATGTGTAATTCAGACCTGTGTAAAAAGAGCGACAAAATTCCATCAATAAAGTATGTTTTCCTCAACCATGTGTCAGGTTTAGAGCTTTTTTCTGCACTTTCCGGAAACAATGCATAACTCTATTCTGCACTATGTCACTTCTAGTTTATTTACAACCAGTCTCACCCCTACAGCGCTGTCCAGGATTGGTCAAACACATGATTTATACAGGTGCTGTGCTAAATAATTCTTGAGGTAATTCAAGCTGTTAAAAACATCAGCCAGAGCCCTTTCAGCAAGTACTGTAGGAGTTTTTCATACAGTATTTATAATATTTAGCATACAGTTTAGAGTGCCTAATGCTAATATAAGCTTGCTAAAATGCTCACGGTGACAATACCAATACATTTGCAAATTACTACTGATCAACGAGTACAGATGAAGCTGATGGGAATGGGTATCTGGTATTAGAAATGGGTATCTGGTATTAGAAATGTCAATATTACTTACACATTTCACTCTTGAATCTAATAGTCAACCCATTGACGTGCATTGAGAAAATGTCAGGACATCACCAAAGTAATTAGGGTTCATCCTCTGGGGAACATCAATTACCGAGCAATCAATCTCATTATTTTTGAGATATTTCAGCCAAGAGCGAAATGGTGGAACGGACAACCCAAAGATCCACATTGCCATCCACAGAATCTGTATCAGCATGCACCAGCTAAGAATAAACAATACTTTCATATTCAAACTAAAGTGAACTCACCCTTCACCAGACTAGAACAGATGCAGCAGGAAGTCATCCACAGAAAGTAGCTGACAGTGTTTCCTCATCAACCTGCATAAATACTGAATGCTCAGCTTGGGTTCTTCCTGAGAGTGAGCATTAGCCAACACAGACACATCAACAGGCTCTTGGCGGTGGCGGCATGGTGCTGCTTATGCATAAGGAAGTAGTGAGAGCAGACCTGAGGAGGCATTGTGCGATCAAGAGAAGAATCTGAAGCGCTGACGGAGAGGGAAAAAAAGCAGATCTGTGGTGTCCTCAGATTCACCGGTTCACTGTTACTTCCAGTAAATGTTAATGTGGGGTAAACAGTGTATATATAAAACAATTGAAAACCCTAACCCTAAATTGCAGTAAATCTACTATAACTCTTTGTACTAAGGGGCACTGTACAGAAGGGTCAAAACAAACGATTGCTGGCCTTAGGGTGCAAAGACTAATTGACAAAGACAAACCGCTGGTCCAATAATCTCCATTGATGCTGTCCATCGCTAATTGTAAAACTGTGTCCACGTCACATGGTCTTCAGGTCTGCTTTACACTCAATGGAAGCTGGTTGCACAGCGATTTTAATAGATGTTTTGGTACGAGAACTCAACAAGACGCACAAATTCAACTTAGCAGGGCTGCTTTTTTTGTGCTGTGTGTTTAAAACCAACACCAACCGCACAACAAATGTTAATATTGAGTTTAATCCCTTTTGAGACAATGTGGGGTACAAATGGAAGGCAGTGAGTTTTCTCTTATTTAATTATGAATCAAGTGCTATTTGAGCAACAGCAGCCATGCCTCCAAACCCATCACGAGATTATTTAAAATGTGATCCTATTATCATGTTATTTCCAGCACTGCAGTTATTAGGAGGACAATTCAATGAGACTCTTCAGTCCTCCAGAGATGTGCTACAGCTTCATTATGCCATGCACGATCGAGCAGTACTAATTACCAAATTAATTCAAGAATGAAAAGACATAAATACGGTAGTATTATGAAAATGTAACCAAGGCCTTATATTGAGACCATGGCTTTATGTGTACAGCACATACCACTGCAAGTATAATAGTGAACATTGATGAAACTGAATTTATTGCAAACTGCACAGGACTTTTGTTTAGACTACATTACATAATGTCACAAAATACAGACCAGAAATCATTCTAAAAAGGCACTAAATGAAGGAGATTACCGGATGAGATGGATTTTATATTTTGAGTTTATTGAAGTTAAAATTAAATTTAGCATCAAAATATAATTCAATAAATATGTATTGTTCAGCTTGGCTGAGAGACATCACCATGTGGAGATATATAGGTAGCAAGAGGAATACTTTGTTATAATAGCCTTTGTATCCTTGAACATGGACTTGCATCATTCTGATACATTCTTACAAATGTTGCAGTCTGTTTGTTACTTTATAACAGCACATATTTAAACTATTTAGATAAATATTTGATACAAAATTATTTCTTTAAGTATATGTTCCATAATTGTAATAGCTGTTTTCTCGGAATGTATCTAGATTTGGTAAAATTCCTATTTCCAGTGGGGTTAATCTGAGCCGTTTCCAATGCATTGAAACATGCAGATGAATAAATAAGAGATAAAAACCTTGAAATCAACCATTTTTCATTTATCAAATCATATCTGTATCTATTGGCTCTCCTCCTGTCTTTAAATATGTGACCACTAGGGGGAGACATTACATAGTTTAACAGTCATCGGCTGCACGAAGGGGAAATCCAGGGAGGAGTCTTCTCTGCTTTTATGTTACACCTGCAACAATCACAACACAGCTGTGCCAAAACACCCATCGTGAGCGCGAAATATAAAATATAAAAAGAAAGGTTTGTATCAGCAGATGACTCAAACTCTCCTCCAAATGTATATTGACATTTGCTCAGATATTTATCAGAGGCATCACAGCATCAGAGCAGGCATCACAGAGTCTAATTTAGAGCCTGGACACCAAGGACATCAGCCATGTAGGGCACGTTGAGCATCAGGCGCTGGGCAGCAAATCACACTGACAAACTGTTGGCACACGGGTAAACAGAATCCATTATTGTATCACTCCTGTAATGCTGAATTTGATAGCATTAATTAATAGATAGAAGTAAGGATAAAACAAGAAGTGCTCTCAAACAACTTGGAGAAGGCTGTGTGTTACGGAGACCAAAAACAACCATATAACACACATTTGTGCAAACAAAAAAATATATATGTAGCATTAGGGTTAGCGTTTTTCACACTAAATCTGAAGGGTTCGTTTAAGAGGAAGATAAAGGAAAGAAGATTTCATCCATACTGATTTAGAATCGGGACTCTTCTGACCAAGATTGCATTGCTAATATAAAAAAGGCAAGTTCTCCATCAAACATGGACAGTTAATCATACCGATGAACTGCAGGCACACAAGGAGCCTGAATCCCACTATTAGGCGAAATAACACACACTTACAGAAGACTGGGCAGCTATGAGAAGCCCCAATGAAAACGGGATCAGTGCCATGAGACTAGCATTTTAGGTATTGTAAAGCTGAAAACATAGTATATTTATCTGGAGTTAAAAGCAAAAATAGGTAGAAAGGAGGAATTTATTTCTGCTGATGCATTTTGGGTCACAACCCATATGGAGGTGATGTGTCAACACTGTTAATTCAATTCAATAAAGACCAGTTTGGTGGTTTGACATGGGAGCCTTTGGCAATCAAAGCCAGGAATAACCCACCAACTTTGTGGTTGTAAACAAACTGCTGTTTATGATTAAAAACAATGTTAACGGAGAACAAGATAGAGAAGCAGGATTATTATAAACTGTCATTGCGTTTAAAATGCAATAATCTTTACCTGATAAAGATACCGTCCTTGTTCTTAGTCAACACCATCCTTCTTCTACAGGTGTTTCCTCTTGTTCCTCCCTCACTTCAGATTAAATGATCAAGAATGAATGTTGCTGTGCATGCAGAGCCTCCATGTCAATCACTAGAAACAAGCTGTGTACTCAAACACTTGGGAGTAAATGATGTTATACAAGAGACTTCTCATGTATACGAGTAATGGTAGCATAATGTTTGATTTCATATTCCTTACTTGCCGATGCATTTTCCTGCGATGAGACCATTGCAAGTTGGGATGTTGAAACTATATCTTGTGCAGCTGTGCTACTACACACAATTGTCACCATGCTTCCAAACATCTTAGTCATTATAAGAGGTTATAAGAGAGCATCAGTTAAAAATAAAGTTGTTTACATCAGTCATATGTCAGCCCTCTGATTTTAAGAGATCATTTTAGTGAAAATAGAAGATTAGATGTTACAAATTCTGTCAGACACAACTTTGGTTAGTATTTTATGTTTTTTCAGTAATTGCAATATATCTAGATAGAAACATTTCTCTCATGTTTAATCCATACTTCTTTTGAACAATGAAGGCAACCAGGAACCACAATACTACAAACAAAAGTTATGAAAGAACAAGGATCTAAACACACCGTTTATATAACACTGGAAACATTATGCAAAAATAAGATCGTGTGCTAGTGGAAACATTTTCTGAAGTCCTCATGAGCTCTTGATGTTTCCACTTCCCGCCAACTGAAATGTCTAAGTAAATGATGGTCTTTGAACATGTAAGATGGAAAGACTTATGTTTAAAAAAAAAGAAAAAGACGAAATGATCTCTCAGATGTTTCATATCCTGTGCAAGTTCATTCCTGAGGTGCTCAGGCAGAACACTCCTGGCTTTGTGAAAGTCTTGTGCAAAAAACGATCAAGTCTTTCACATCCTGAGATGTCCTGTCTGAGGGCCACTCGTTGAAAACTCATTTTTATGAACATGTTCCAAACCTCTGATCATTTCAGTATGTGCTGCTCATCCACAGGTGTCCTAGCAGATTGGCTTTGGATTCAGAATCCCACGAGGTTCTTGTTCACGTTCACGTTCTTGTTCTTGGAGGACTTTGGCTTTCTCACCCTCTTCTTGTCTGAGTCTTTGTTATTATGACTAGCTTTAATGTCCGATTCCCACTTTTTCTTCTCCAACGTGTAGAGCCTCATGGTGGCCTGTGCGTCTTGGACCTGGTAAACAGTGGATAGTGGGTACAGTACAAGATGCTTTATTTTTACATTTCTCACTGGTATTCTTTGTTACTGTGCAATAAACAGTCAATGTGAGAGAAATAGGAAAACAATTGGCACACTTTTTGTTAAGTGGGCAGTGTGTTTGATGACTTACGGATGAATGTTCGCCCTGTTGGACTTTAACGTTGAGTATTTCTCTGCAA